GCCAGATAATAATTTTTAGTAGGCAGGAACAAAATTCTGCCAGTGAAACATTCACTCGAGCAGAAGACACTTGAAGCCATGTCATCTCTATATATAAAATATCATTTCTCTGCCTTTTGGCTAAGATCATGTAGTATATCTCTAGATACTTTTATTTATATATATGATGCACTAGCGCGCTATCTGTTATCAAAATTCGAAACTAATATAAACACATAAGATTCTTTTTGAAATTAAACAATTTCTACTGCCCTTACTGCAATGGAAAAATTAAATGGAGGGCCTGGCTTAAACTGGCAAAACCGCTGGAAGGGTTCCCCACTGATGAGCCAGGTCCTCCCATTAATTTTTCCATTGCAGTAAGGGCAGTAAATTGTTTAATTTCAAAAAGAATCTTATGTGTTTAAAATAGTTTCGAATTTATATATATCTTTTTAAAAATTTATTCAGTAGAGAGAATGGATATGTTTGCTCGAAAAATATATTTTATATATTATTCAAATACAGTAAAACCCCTCTATAGTGAACCCCAATGGGACAGAGCTTTTGGTTCACTATAGCCACGGTTCACTATAGCCACGGTTTGGCTATTTTTTTTTTACTTTTCAAAAATTTTAGACCGTATAATTAAAAAACAGCCATACACACAAGAAGAGGCTGCCTCTTAATAGTGGTCACTTTATTTTAATTCCCTTAATTGACTAATTTCCTTATATTAATACTGAATAATAATAGAAATCATTAGATAATAGGTTCTTCTTATGATTAACATACATGTACCTCTATGTCTAAGTTAAAAATCAAGACAAATCCTAGGCAAAGTTTTATTAAATATATATTCAAAGATCTGAAATGATTTTAAAACATCATTATCACATATATTATATAATACAATTTTTACTTGAAAAAAAATGGCTCTAATACCTTGTTGTTTCAAAGCATTCTTCCAAGCATTGCACCATTCAAATAAAGTTAGTGTTTTTCTTCCATTTCATGTTTCCCCATATTCTTCTAGGTCTAGATTTCGTTTTTTTTTTAACCTGCCATGCAAAACATTGCTGACTTTAAAATCACCATAGTTAATGGCATAAAAATAATTTTTGTTTCATCACGGGACCGTTTATTTGGACTTTTTTTTTTTTTAAGTTCCAAAACGTACGATCGCGATCGCGGCAAAAGTTGAAGTTGATTCCTCTTTGTAACAATTTTTAATAACTTTATATTTTATCTTTTATAATAGAAAAGTTATATTCTCTTATTTTAATATGTTCTTAACATTTTGCCTATGTTGTTTCACTTTGAAAAGTTCTGTAAATGGCCTTTTTTTTTTAAATGAAATAATGCTTTTGTTTTTAAAATGCCTTTGTTTTCTTCATTTTGGAAGCCATTTGCATTTTTTATATTTCAAATTTAATGGATGCAAAGATATTCTAATTAATAAAAAGTATAATGTGTAAAAATTTATACAACATACAGCAAAAATAAAGTGCAAAAATCAAACAAACAATGCCGCTAAATTTATTGTTTTGAAATCGCGATCCGCGAGCTTTAAACATTTTATCATTTTGGGACCCGAAATAGGTTCGTTATAGGGGTAGTTCGTTATTCTAAAAATCGCAAAGTTCGTTATAACGATGGTATTTTCAATGGAATGGAATTGGGAATCGGCGTGGGTTCGTTATAAGGGAAGGTTCGTTATATCCAGGGTTCGTTATAGCGGGGTTTTACTGTATATAATGTAACGAATATTAATATCATCATTATCATAATATTCTGTGTATTCCGGAATATTATTATCAATAATATTCGTTAGGCAAACTTTCACTCGGATAAAACCCGGGCGAAGCCGGGTACACATCTGCTAGTAATCTATGAGGGTTGTCCGTTAAATAAGTTCCACAGAGGTTTTTCATACAGAAAAACAGGTTTATTTGCCCTGAAAAATACATTTTTGAAAATATCAGACTTTTTCATTTTTCTACATATTCCCTGTTTCGTTCGACGCATTTTTGCATTCGGGACACCCACTTATTGAACCCAGAGTCAAAGAACTCTGCCGCCTGGCCGCATAGAAAGCCTAAAACCGCTTCTTTCAACTCGTCATCGTCCTGGAATTGGGTTCCACCCAGGTTTTTCTTCAACTCAGGAAAGAGATGAAAGTCACTAGGAGCTACGTCCGGGCTGTAGGGTGGGTGTGTGTGTGTGTGACACCAATTCCCATCCAAATTCTTCAAAGAGGGCAGTGGTTTGATGGGCGGTGTGCGGCCGAGCGATGTCATGGTGAAATCGCACCCCTTTGGTTAACATCCCTCTACTCTTGTTCTGAATCGCACGTCAAAGTTGTTTTAAGGTCTCACAGTACCGGTCGGAATTGATTGTTGTACCCCGACGCATAAAGTCGCACAACAATAGACCCTTTCGGTCCCAAAAGTCGGTAGTGATAAGTTTCCCGGCAGAAAGCGTTTGTTTAAACTTTAGAGGTTTCGGCAAAAAAGTGTGCTTCCACTGCTTGGATTGCTCCTTTGTCTCCGGTGTGGTGTAGTGCACCCAGGTCTCATCATCAGTAATGATCAAATTCAAGAATTCCTCTCCGTCAGTTTTGTGGCAATCAAGAAATTTCTGGGCCGCTACAACCCGCTGCCGTTTATGGTCTTCAGTCAGCATTTTCGGAACCCATATTGCGCAGACCTTTGAATACCCTAAATGTTCACCCAAAATCTTGTCTATGGTGGTTTTACTGACATCAGGAACCAAATCGCAGATTCTGCACAGTAACCCATCGATCTTCAAGCATTGCCGCTTCGAATTTGGCAATGATTTCGTCCGAAACCGATGGCCGTCCAGCACGCGGTTCATCGTGGACGTCTGTTCGGCCATTTTCAAATTCTCTGACCCATCTGTGCACCATCCCAGAACTCATACACCCTTCTCCATACACTTTACAGAGTTCAGTATGAATGTCCTTCGCCGAATTTTTCTTTGCGGCCAAAAAACGAATTACTGACCGTAATTCGCAGCTGGCGGGAGACACGAGGGGAAACTCCATCACTAACGGCTGCTCAGCCAAGACTAAGCTTACCAGCGATGTGTCCTTGGTGGGAAATTGGAGTGGGGAGAACAAGCTACGAGCCCGTGCAGTCGGCTCGAGCCTAAAAGCGATCCTCATGACAGTGGTGCCCTGTGGAACTTATTTAACGGACAACCCTCGTATAATTCCAAATTGTGCATTATCAACAAACTATGAATCCCCCTCCTTCTTTTTCATCCGGGCTTGGGACAGGCAAAGGCTGTTGGTCTGAAGATCTGGAACTACCACTCAGTAGCAGTAAGAAACATAAGGTAATAAAGTGATAAGGCACACAATTTTGATTATAGATTATAAAAATAAAGTAATAAGACCAAATCCAAATAAATAAATAGTGTGTAATGTTTCAGTAACAGTGTTGTTACCATCTTCAGACAAAAGTACTGAATGAGAAATTTTACCACAGCATGGTTTAAATAGTTACTGTTATCAAGTGTGTAAACAAGATAGCAGAAAACTATCTTATTCCTATCTGTTATCTTGTTTACACATTTGATGACAGTAACTATTTAAAACATGCTGTGGTAAAATTTCTCATTCAGTACTTTTGTCTGAAGATGGTAACAACACACTTACCAAAATGTCACACACTATTTATTTATTTGGATTTGGTCTTATTACCTTGTATTTATAATCTATAATCCACAAATTGTGTACCTTATCATTCAGTTTAAGAAGTAAAATACAAAAGAAGAAAATAAACAGGATAGCCAGTTATTCTTCCATTAAAGCATTATCTCAATATTATAATTATTGATTTATATTTATTTATTTATACAATTAAACCTGTCTATAGCGCCCCCTCTTGGGACTTTTTTCCCAAATTCATTTCTTTTTAAGGTGTCAGCAGGATTACTGATAGTCACAGACCCGTCTTGAAACGATCCGTTCACAATGTACATCATAGAATTCAGTACGTTGCCCTCTGACCACTTGCAATAAACCATTATGTTCACACACACACCCTTCTTGGGACTCACCAAAATAGGGTGCTATAGAGAGGGGGTGCTATAGACAGGTCACTTTTAATGTAAAATGTTTACATTTTAATATTTAAAATCGGACGCTATAGAGAGGAAGACGCTATTTAGAGGGGGCGCTATAGACAGGTTTATTTATATTTGAATTCTATCAGACAAAATATTAGAAAAATTGAATTATTTTAGCCAACAATAGTGATACAGATTGTGTATTATAGATTAGAAACATAAGGTAACAAGACCAAAATCCAGATCAATAAACTGTGATTGAAATTTTTATGAGGTTTTTTACCGAAACATCAAACACAATTTAGCAGATTTGTGGTCATGATAAAGCACAATTTGGATTATAGATTATAGCTACAAGGTAATAAGAACTAATCCAAATAAATTAATAGTGTTTAATGTTTCTGTAACAGCGTTGTTACCATCATCAGACAAAAGAATTTATTCAAAAGCATTTATTCTTTTGTCTGATGATGGTACGCTGTTACTGAAATGGTCACACACTATTTATTTATTTGGATTTGGTCTTCTTGTAGCAGATTTAGTCTTGTTACCTTAATGTTTGACATTTTCATATTTATTCATAGCTATAAAACAAGAAAATAAGACCTAATCCAAATAATTTAATAGTGTGTGACGTTTCGGCAACAGCATTGTTACCATCATCGAACAAAAGAATATATATATATATATTTTTTTGCTTATCCCTAGTACACGTGGTACAGGCCATGATAATCATGGTGGGTAGTTAGCGACTGCTTTTTACTGTAAGCGCACCACATGTCTACACATGTGAAAGCAGTTCGACTTTGCACTTACAAATGTGCCAGAGCCCCGTTTGGTTACTTGCACTCGCTGGTGGGGTTGGACTTTTGCAAGAATCGGGGGGCCATTGGAGCATTTTTTTTTTTTTTTTAAACAGAAAAAAGTGTCCAATGCGGGGATTGAACCCGGGTCGTAGTGGTCGTAAACCAAACGGTTTAACCAGCCTTCCACCGACCCCCGGACAAAAGAATAAATGAGATGACCGTAACAATGCTGTTACCAAAATGTCACACACTATTAATTTATTTGGATTAGGTCTTATTTTCTTGTATTATAATCTATAATCCAAATTGTGCTTTATCATTATTCATAGCTAATTTGCGAGATTAAATATTGTCAAGTAGCTCTGCAACTTTGGTCACAAGAGGCCCCATGGGACACTTGTCAATCATCCCTGGACTCCGGGGGGACGACCACAGGTGTGAAGGGTTCTCGGAATCTTATCGACAAACAAGACCAAACTGTCAACCATCACAGATGTCCCGGGGGTCGGTGGAAGGCTGGTTAAACCGTTTGGTTTCGACCACTACGACCCGGGTTCGATTCCCGCATTGGACACTTTTTATGTTTAAAAAAACAATGGTTGCCTGTAAAGTCGGTTTTACGGGCGAAGATTTTACGTGACAACGGTAGAATATTTATTGATATGAATATAATTAAATTGCACAATAGGAACAAGGAATTGAATGAAAATAAGAATTGCACAAATTTTAACTATAGAAATATATTTTGTTTACTAAAACATTGTACATGTAAACTTAAACTTAACTAATTCCTATTTGAGTGATTTTGTTGAGGATAGGACGATGATAGGAGAAATATGAAATGAAAGGAAGTGTTTCTGCTGTAATGTGTCTTGCGAAAGTCAAGTCGATAGTTGTTCCTTTTAACGTAGTTGACTTAGAAACGTTTGATACGCAATCAAGATTATACGTATTTTTCATGAAATTAAGAAACGAGTTGTCAGGCTTTACGTTTTTGTTAAAATCACCACACAGAAGAATCGGTATACTAGAATCAATTTGCACGAACGGTGGCACGTACTGGCTGTTGTGAATGTACGGACCGAGTCCTTGCCATAGTAACATTCCAATATCCTGCATACTAGCTCCTGGATGAATATATACAGCACCGAGTATAAACTTGTAGCTAGTATTAGCTGCGAAGCAAGTAACTTCAGTCATGCACATGTCACCCTTGGTTTTAATGACACGAGTTACGTCTGTAATCGCAACTTGGAACACTTCCGCCGTAGATGTCGATGATAATTTACGATAGATCGCCACTCCACCAGCCGCGTTGGTATTTGAAAATCAAAACACTTATTCAGATCGAAGGTTCAAATTTTTGCTAAATAAAATTTGTAATTGTAAATGATGAAGTTGAAAATTAAAACATTTACTTAAATTAGATGTTAAAATTCTTGCTCAACACAGTTTAAATAAAGTTTTCTTATATCTGCCACTTTTTCTTAATATTTGTAATTGTAAAGAATCAATTCGAAAATCAAAACATTTATTCAGATCGAAGGTTCAAATTTTTGCTAAATAAATTTGAAACTATTTAAAATTTGTTAAATAATAATTAATTAATTAATTAATTTTAAACTAATAATTTACTTAACACTATCAACATTTATCAATAGTATGACATAACCTATAAACTCAGTTTCTCAACTTTTGTGTCAATCTAACAATTAATCAATCAATCATAGTTTACGATAATGAAATATCAGTGTACAATTATTTACCTTTATTGTTGTAGTTGTTGTAAATGACGAATCTAAGCACTCCACATTTTCACTACAGACACAGCTGACGATACTTTAACCACACGTGTGAACTTGTATTATGACGCTTTCTTGTTTTTCCAACGCCAAGAACGTTCGAGAAAGACAAAGACAGAGACAAGCATGCGCCGATTCAATGCGCCTAATTCTCTAGCGCTGCGCGCGCAGCACTCTCGTTCGATGACTCATCGTAACGTTACCGGGCGTTACACTTTTTCATAAGTGACTCCCAGCCGCAACCTAATTTAAGACGTTGTCACGTCAAAAAAAAAATGCTCCAATGGCCCCCCGATTCTTGCAAAAGTCCAACCCCACCAGCGAGTGCAAGTAACCAAACGGGGCTCTGGCAGATTTGTAAGTGCAAAGTCGAACTGCTTTCACATGTGTAGACATGTGGTGCGCTTACAGTAAAAAGCAGTCACTAACTACCCACCATGATTATCATGGCCTGTACCACGTGTACTAGGGATAAGCAAAAAAAAAAAAAAAACAGATGTCCCACCTTCATAGGTTCCAAACAGCCACCATCCTCCTAGGAATATTTACCCCTGTACAGAACCAAGTACAGTACATCTGATAATGTTCACCATTAGACAACCCGGATAGTTGGTGTACGTGGTGGCTCCAGGAATCCTGGTTACCTCATGAGAGAAAGAGTACTTATAATCTCTTAAATATGTTTTGATATTATTTTTCTGAAATATAATAATGTAAAACAAACGTATTAAGCTATTATGTAAATTCTATAGTAAGAAACATCAGATAAATTCAAATAAATTAATAGTGGATTTGGTCTTATTACCTTGTGTTTATAATCTATAATCTACAAATTGTCTGCCTTATCATTCAGAGTAAGAAGTAAAATACACAAGAAGAAAATAAACATGGTTGCCACTTATTCTTCCATCAAAGAAAAGAAACATATGCCTTCCTATTTTAAAAATATCTAGTTTTTTTATTAGAAAAATAGCACAAAAGTGAAATTGTACAGAGATCAGGTTGATAAATTAAGAGAAAGGCATTTCCTGATTGTACAACTAAAATTTTGATGATGACACAAAGATAGGTTATATGGCTGAATTTTGAAATAATTAAAAATAAATGATTATAGTTGATGGTGGTGGTGTCTTGTCCAATCTACATGGCAAGGGGGATGCCATTGCCCTGTTAGTCAGCCACATTTCAGTGTTCCCTGTTCATGGTTACTGTAGCGGCTCGGGGTTCACAACACCGTACTTCATCCTACAGGGCAGTCCCTTACTTGTGCTGCTTCTCCCGCCTGCCACGTAGAGGAGAACATCTGGGCAGGATTATAACTGATATTAATTCCAACAGATGGGTGATACAACATGACTGGTACAGAGCAGGTGCACCAATTCTGTCCTCCCAAGGGAACGACAGTTCTTGATTTCCAGACTTGAATCATCTACGGACAATAACTTTCCAGATTGGTTGCAAGGTTTTTCCACTATGTGCTAAGTGCAATTCTCAACCTGAAACCCCAAACCACATCATTGACTGTATTGGCTCAGCCATTGATGAGTTCTACTCATCCCCAGCAGACACCATCAACAAGCTCTACAGGCTTGATACCTTGATATGATTGAGTGGAGATAGGAAAGAAGAAGAACCAGTTAACCAACCACATCATTGACTGTATTGACTCATCCATTGATGAACTCTACTCATCCCCAACAGACATCATCAACAAGCTCTACAGGCTTGATACCCTGATATGATTGAGGGGAGATAAGAAAGAAGAAGATTCCAACAGATGGCGCAAGCCATCAACAAACTTTTAACTGCACAATCAGGAGATACCTTTTCCTAATCTTATTTTAAGCCAAATTTTTCTTTTGTTCAACAGTGTTGTTACCATCATCAGAAAAAAGAATCATTTTTTCTTTTGTCTGATGATGGTAACAATGCTGTTGCCGAAATGTCACACACTATTAATTTATTTGGATTAGGTCTTATTTTCTTGTATCTATAATTCAAATTGTACTTTATCATTGTATCACTAGAAGTTTTAGAGGAAAGAGAGAAAAGCCGGGAACTTCCAAATGTTACAAAACTAAGCAAGGATTCCCTGATTTGATATCATTGTTAGATTACAATGGCAGTTGTACTGCGCCTTGGCCTGGATGAAAAAGGAGGAGGGGGAATAGTAACAAACTCTGTAAAAAACCTGGGCTCAGCTGATAGTACCCTGTAAGGGCTCCTAATCCAGGGATACAGGATGAGCAGCATTTGTACTCCATGTTAGGAGCGGCTGTACATGGTGTCTGTTCCTCATGTCAGAGGTGGCCATTTATTTTGGAGCTAAGTCGGCCTGCCTCTGAGTAGTGCTCCCAGTCTTAATGACAAAGGCAGACACATTCTACTTCATCCAATTATAATGGTTGTCAAACAGACACCATCAACTTGACACCCTAATATGATTGAGTGGAGATAAGAAAGAAGCAGACAATGACAGTTAATAGAGGCCACCATTTTCTTTGAATCTATCTGAAGAGGCTTTTTTTCAAATAAATATAAGTTGAAATGAAAAAAAGAATACAATTAATTTGGATTTCACATGACCAATAAGGTACTAAGACCTATATCAAATTAATTAATAGTGTGATGTTTCTGTAACAGCATTGTTACCATATTCAGACAAAAGAATGGACAAATAAGACTAAAGAATAATTTATTCTTTATCTGATGATGGTAACAACACTGTTAGCGAAATTTCACACACTATTTGTTTATTTGGATTTGGTATTATTATACTTTTTAGTTCTAATCTATAATTTAAATTGTACCTTATTAGCCGACCAATAAAAAAATCTGCATCCATCAATATTGAGCAGTGTGTGTGCCCAGAACATGTTTATAAATTTATATTTATATATTTTCCTCAAAAGCTTATGTCCATAGTTTGTTAAAATACCTTTTTCAAAAGTTGATCTTCAGTATTATTATAAAAGCGAAACAGCAAAATACAATAATTTAAAGGTAGGGTAGATTAAACTGGCAAAACTGCTGGGAGGGTTTACCACTGATGAGCCAGGCCTTCTTATTATTTTATCTTTGCATTAAAGGCAGTAGAAATATATATATATATACAGTTAATATGATGCACTAGCGCGCCATCTGTTATCAAAATTCAAAACTATTTTAAAGGCGTAAGATTCTTTTTGATATTAAACAATTTCTACTGCCCTTACTGCAATGGAAAAATTAATGAGAGGGCCTGGCTCATCAGTGGTGAACCCTCTCAGCGGTTTCGCCAGTTTAATCTACCATACCGCTGTTATATTGCATTTTTGGAACTTCCTTTTATAGTGATACTGTTGATAGACTCTTTGAATGGGTATTTTAGAAGAACTATGGACATAAGCTTTGAGGA